CCTATGGGTGCTGGGAATTGAACGCCGGTCCTCTGGAAGAGCAGTCAGTGCTCTTAACCGCTGAGCCATCTCTCCAGCCCTACTTTTCAAAATGCTTTTGAAAATTCTAACCTTTCCCTCATCTCCTTAGTGTTGGGATGTACAGGTTTGTCATGATTTGTTTGGCTTAAAGTTGATCTTTGTCTTCATTTCTTCTAGAAGACTATTTTTGAACCTTCTGGCAGTTGTTAAACATTTTTGGCCTGAGGACTTTGAGGAGTTTGATTATTTTGTACTCTTCCAGGAAATGATGTATGATAGCCATATTTTCAGGGTTTAGGTGTTTTTTGTTGTTTTGTTTGTTTGGATTTCAATTTTTCAAGACAGAATTTCTCTGAAACAGTTCTGGCTGCCCTGGAGTGCTAGAATTAAAGGTGTGCACCACCACCACCCAGCCCATTTTTAGTTTTGAATGATTGAATTTCCCTAATGGTGGATAAGGGAAAGGAGGGGGAAACATCAACAAATTGAAGATATCCAGCAGAAACTGACTTAGGAAGTCTTGTTCATGACAGTTAGCTGGAGATCCCAATTAAAAGAGTCAGGGGCTCAGTGTTCTCTCGGTGAAACTTGTAAGTCAAAGAACAAATATCAGAGATAGAATGAAATTGATGGCCAACAACACCAAGCAGAAACTGCCTTGAGTTGAGTTTGACGCAGTCTTCCTTTGGTTTATCATTTTATTGCATTTAAAATACTTGTTTTGCATGTACATGTGTATATGAGTGCATTTCATTGCATGCATGTGGAAGCCAGAGGACAGCTTGCCAGAATCCAGTTAGTTCCAGGTTGTAATTCAGGCTTGGTGGCAAGTGTCTTTCCCCAGAGCCATGTCACTATACCATTTATTATTTTAAATGCCTTGGAAATAAATGTAGTTCTCCACAAGTTCTAAAATGTCTTTTATAAAGGAGTATGTTTTTTTATTTTGTGGCGATGTATAGGCATGTGTTTTTATTAGTTTGTAATGGTTAAAATTTATCTGAATTTTGTTTTTGATTGTACTTTTTCTTTTTTTAAAGGTTTTATTGAAAGTGTTATATCAGTACAAGGAGAAACAATATATGGCTCCTCGAGTTTTACAGCAGACATTAAATTATATTAATCAAGGAGTTTCCCATGCTCTTACTTGGAAGAACCTGAAGCCTCATATACAAGTAATAATTTTCTCTCGGGATGGCTTTTTTGTTTTGTTGATTGATTGGTGTTTTTTTTTTTTTTTTTTTTGGTTAGCAGTTGTAATAAAATACGTTAATTGCAATAAAGGTTGAATAATTGTTGGGTTTTGAAACTTACTCTAGTTCTGGTGATTGTTTGGGTAGTGCAGCAGAAAAAGAAGAGAACAGTTTGATAATAAGTAATGAGAGGAATTTAAGAATATCCAGCTACATTTTAGTCTAAAACCCAAACTTCCAGCTAATATTTAAGCTCTGACCATTAGATTGTAGTTAATATTTTTGTCGTGTGATTTGAACTGAGCAAGGGCCTATTTTCATCATGTTGTTATTTTGATAATTTAACTTTCAGAGTTCTAGAATTTCTTTGTCTTTATTTACTTCCCTTGTTTTTTCATGTTTTGGAGTGCTAGAGATTGAGCCTAGGCCCTGAAGTGTACTGGTCAGGCTCTGCACAGCTGTGCTACCTATGTATACATGGGTCTTAGTATGTAATCGTTATAAGTGGATATACAGCTTGGATGTTGGTCTAAAATGTATTAAATAAGTTAATGGAGTTTGCTATCATTTTATATTTATTTTGTTTTGCTACTTAAAGGCGATTGGACAGGTTAAAATTGAAAGCTGAAGACTGTTACTTTCTTAACTTTTAAATTGCAGGGCATTATCCAAGATGTTATTTTTCCATTGATGTGCTATACAGATGCTGATGAGGAACTCTGGCAAGAAGACCCTTACGAATATATACGCATGAAGTTTGGTAAGAAAGTTTAACTTGCTGTCTGGGTATGGTGGTGCAGGCCTGTAGTCCTAAAACTAGGAAGGAAAATGGAAGGTTATCTTCAACTGCATGAAAATTTTGAGGACAACTTCAACTATGTAAGACACTATCTCAAAAACAAAACAGGGTCAACAAAGATGGGTAAGGTGCTTGCTGCCAAGCCTGATGACCTTGAGATCTCACATAGGAGATTGTCCTCGGTTTCTCTGTGTAGCTTTGCGCCTTTCCTGGAACTCACTTGGTAGCCCAGGCTGGCCTCGAACTCACAGAGATCCGCCTGCCTCTGCCTCCCAAGTGCTGGGATTAAAGGCGTGTGCCACCACCGCCAGGCGGAGATTGTCCTCTTAAGACCACAACATACCTGCTGTGGTATGTACCTCCCCATCTACTCACACATAAATAAGTGAATATAATCAAAATATTTTTTGAATAAAAATTTTTACATTTAGAAAAAAATATTTAAGTTTAAGATTATAAAGGTTGTATGCAGCCAGCCTAAGCTTCATAAAGTATATAATTTATTTCTTGTGTGTCCTTTTAGGCCTATTCATTCATTATAGCACCATTATGGGTTTTGTTTGATTGGGTGTGGTTTTTGAAACAGGGTTTCTCTGTGTATTGCCTTACCATCCTGGAACTGTAGGTAGACCAGGCTGGCTTCCAGCTCACCTACCTTTGCCTCCTGAGTGCTGGGATTAAAAGGCATGTGCCACCATGGTGTGGCTAACTTTAACTCAAGATTCTCCTGTGTCAGCCTCTTCAGTGCTGGAATTACAAGTTTGCATCACCACAACATACTCAAAGACTTTGTTTTTTATATAACATAATTTGTAAATTAGGAATATGAAATATTTTCCAAAGAAAATTAGTAAACTGGGCACCATATTCCATGTCTCTAATCTTTTTATTTGGGAGTTAGAGGCAGGAGGATAAGAAGTTCAAGGCCAACCTGGGATACTAATGACCTTATTGCAAAACAAAGCAAAAACTATCATTTTCTCTAAATTTTCATTTTACATTTATTCTCTAGATGTGTTTGAAGACTTCATTTCTCCTACTACCGCTGCCCAGACACTTTTGTTTACAGCCTGTAGTAAAAGGAAAGAGGTGAGTTATCACATAGATAACATTTGCTTTATTTTTTTTTTTTTTTTTCGTTTTTCGAGACAGGGTTTCTCTGTGTAGCTTTGCGCCTTTCCTGGGACTCGCTTGGTAGCCCAGGCTGGCCTCGAACTCACGGAGATCCACCTGGCTCTGCCTCCCGAGTGCTGGGATTAAAGGCGTGCGCCACCACTGCCCGGCCTTGCTTTATTATTTTAAATGTCTTCAAATATGCTCTTTTTTCAATGTTAATCGTGTGTTGTTTTTGTCAGTGTGTTCTTCAAGAACTGTATTTCTTGTCTCTCCAGGTACTGCAAAAGACTATGGGATTTTGCTACCAGATTCTTACTGAACCAAATGCTGATCCTCGTAAAAAAGATGGAGCCTTACATATGATTGGCTCTTTAGCTGAAATACTTCTAAAGGTATTCCTTCGTGTGAGACAGCGTGTGTAGTTAATAAATATTTTTAATTATATGTATTGCACGTAATGTGTGTAACACATGTGTGCAGTACCTACCTGTAGAGGCCAGAAGACATTGTTAGATAACTTGAAGCTAGAGTTACAGGTTGTTGTGAACGGCTTATGGGTTATGAGAAGTGAACTCTGATTATCTGGAAGAGCAGTGAATGCTTTTAACTGCTGAGCCATCTTGCCAGCCCCTAAATTAGTAGCTTGTTTTTTTGTTTTTTGTTTTTCCCTGAGGTATGATATGTATACCATGTAGTTCATCTATTTAAAGTATATAACTACAGCTGGTAAGCCACCAAACCTGACTTGAGTTTAATTTTCAGGTCTCACATAGTAGGAGAGAATTACTGCAAGTTGTCCTCTGATGTCCACATAGCACTGTGGCAAACACACACAGACAATAAATAAGAAATATAATAGAAAATTCTAAGAGAGAGTAACTGAGTGGTTATTAATATATTCACAGTACTGCATCCATCTCATGTCAAGACATTTTCATCACCACAAAATTGAAATCCTGTCTTGCTTTTAATCTCAGCACTTGGGAAACAGAGGCAGGCAGAAGTTTGTGAGTTCAAGGCCAGCCTAGTCTACAAAGCAAGTTCCAAGACCCTGTTCAAAAAGTAAACTTTAAAATGAAAAGAAAAAAATCCTGTCTCTAAAATAGAAGTCTCCCCCTATATCATGCCAAACCTCCCAGTCCTGCACCTACATTTATCTATGAATTTATTTTGGACCTTTCACACAAACTGAGGGTTGCATGTCCTTTTTGACTGCCTTTGGATTTAGTGTAATGTTTTAAAGGTTTCTCATCTAGCACGTGGCTATGCTTATTCCTCATTGCCAAGTACTGAATTGAATTGTTAATACTGCATTTGTTCATGTTTCAGCTGATATATATTATCTGTGTTTCTTCTTCTCTATTCTGAACCCTGCTGCTAAGAACATTCTTTTACAAGTTTGTGTAGGGTGTATATTTTCATTTTGCATATATCTCAGAACCTAAATTGCTCGTTTAGAAAACCAAAAAAGATACAAAATGTCTGTAACATTTTAACATCAGTAGCATATGACAGCTTCATGAGATTAAAGGGATTAGAATAAATGTGTGTCTCTTTATTAGTCCCTTTTAACATTATCATGTTTATTTGCAACTTGAGACAATTTGTGTTTAGACAACTTTTTAGAAAAAAAAAATTTTTTATATTCACAGAAAAAGATCTACAAAGATCAAATGGAATATATGTTGCAGAATCATGTATTTCCTCTCTTCAGCAGTGAGCTAGGCTACATGAGAGCAAGAGTAAGTTTTAAAATTGTATTATTCGATGTATTTATTTAAATGTCCTTTAAGGAATGACTGAAAATGTTTGGCTTGAAAATGTGTGTCTTTGTTAAGACTTCTATTTCTGTAAGTCTTCATCTGGCTGCTGTAGTACTGTGTGCATAGTTGTCATCTATGTCTGGTAGCAGTATCTGTTTGTGTTTTGCATTCAGATCTTGCTATCCACACAAAGAATGTGCAGCCAAAGAGTAATATGGGATCATAGTACTGGTCTAGTGTTACGTGTTTGAACACATCTCCCACTGGCCAGCCTCCAAATTCTCAGACAAAACTCTGGGAAGAGCTTATTTTTGGGAAATCTATTCAAGCTGTTTATAGTCACACACACACAACCCTTCCCCCTGTATTTAAAGGCTTGCTGGGTACTTCACTATTTTTGTGAAGTGAAGTTCAAAAGTGATCAGAACCTCCAAACAGCTTTAGAGCTGACAAGAAGATGTCTGATTGATGATCGAGAAATGCCTGTGAAAGTGGAAGCTGCCATTGCACTACAAGTGTTGATCAGCAATCAAGAAAAAGGTAAGTGATTTATGTGTACAAATATCCTTATTTAACTGTAAGGCAGAATTCTAGGAACTAACTTAATATACTCCGTGAAAGCACTTGGTGTTTTCTCTTTTTGTATCTAACTTATTATTTACCTGTTTGTTAAGTTCCTCCCCTGCTCTATTACAGCTAAAGAATACATCACTCCATTTATCAGACCTGTAATGCAGGCTCTTCTTCATATTATAAGAGAAACAGAAAATGATGATCTTACAAATGTAATTCAGAAAATGATCTGCGAATATAGTGAAGAAGTTACTCCTATTGCTGTAGAAATGACACAGCATCTGGTATGTTCTTTGAACCTGTTACTATTGCAAAGATGTTAATTTGACTTTTTGTATGATCTCTGTGGTTTGTCACAGGTGTCTTGCTTTCCCTAACAGCAAATATTTCATGGAACTTACTATGTAACATGTTGTATAAACCCCTTGACAGATACTTAACTCATTTGTTTTTCACATGCTTCTAGTTGAAATGATTCCTCTGTTTTATAGAGAATAATTGTGAAGTAGGAAAAGGTTGAATAACTTCCCAGAGCTAAATGTAGTGTGTCTGGAATTCATCCTTGTATTGTCATAGTGTAGGCTCTTAGGTGTGTTAGGCTCATAATCTGTGGGGTTTCCTGAATACTAAGAACAGTTGGTATAGTTACAAATAGCAAATCAGGCATGGAGAGGTGGTTCAGTGGTTAAAGCACTTCCAGCACCTCCATGTTGGCTTAGAACTGTGTGCAACCCTGGATCCACAGCATCCATGATGCCTTCTTCTGGTCTGTGTGAGCAGGCACCAAACATGCAGGTTTTCCACAGACATACTTGAAAACAAAACCCTCTAACATGTTTTTAGAAAGGCATCAGCAACTTGGTGATTTAATATACCTGAATTTAGGCATAGTCAAAGAAAGGTTCTCAGTATGTTGCTGTGGCTAGCACTGAACTCTTGGGTTCCATTCACTCCTTTTGGCACTAATAATATTAATGATAAGCACACTCTCTACCTTGCATCATTACCCTCATAGTTGTCAGTCTGCAATTCCCCCAAGTACTGTGGCAGAAATTTGAGGCCTGCCTGGGATACACATCCTGCCTGCTACTCTGTGTGTCAGTGTTCTTACTCTTCCCCCAGTCTTAAAACCAAAACATTGAATACATTTCATATTCTTGATTCTAGGCAATGACATTTAACCAAGTAATCCAGACTGGGCCAGATGAGGAAGGAAGTGATGACAAAGCAGTCACTGCTATGGGAATTCTAAATACAATTGACACACTTCTGAGTGTGGTTGAAGATCACAAAGAGGTAAGAAGTAAACAGTACATAAAAATAACAAGACTCATGCTACACGGTTTTTTATGGAACGTTATCAAGTCATTTCATCTGCTTTTATTTGATCACTTAATTACTTCTCGTTTTAAGGTTAAGATTGGTACCTTACAAATGTTAAGTTCTAGAGTACACACAGAGTGATTTGGAAGTAGCTGCTGTTTGCTTTACCATTTTTTGTAGCTCATAATTTTTCCTAGATCCAGCACATGGTGATTTCTTTGAAAATATGGTACTAATTTCACTTGGAGGTTAGTTTTGGACTGATCAGATTATTCACCAGGGAGAGGTCCTTTTCTCCAAGCCTGATGACCTGAGTTCAGTCCCTGGACGCAGCATTTGCACACAAGTGAATGCATGAATGTATGTATGAATAAACAAATAGGCATAAAACATTTACCATACTACCGAATACACATACTTCTGAAATTATCATTATCTTCATCCTTTTTGCCTATTATCTTTTTGAAATGTAAGGGGAATATAATCATGAATATTAAAAGCTTTAATTATTTAAATCATAAAAAACAAGAGAAAACAAACTGGTCTCACCTAGATTCATAGTATTTTAACATTTTCACTGGGTTTTCTTTAGATTTTATTTCCCTTAAGAACCCAATTTTTTATTTGTCTGTGGTGTCGCCCCCCCCCCCCCCCCATGGGATCAAGGCAGAGCTTCTTATATGCTAAGAGGTAGTAGTTCTACCATTGAGCTATACCCCAGCACAGACAGTTTCAGATAGATGAAATTGAATCCCTCAGAGATTATGTTCTTTTCTTTTTGTTTGGTATTTTTGAGATAAGGTCTTGCTTTTTGGGTGCACCCCCACAAAGGCTTTGAAATCATTGTATATAGCCTGTTCTGTTTTATATGTTCTTTATATCCTCTTCACTTTAGCCTCATGACTACCACAGTGCTTGGCTAGAGATAATTTCAACCCTGCTTCTTTCCCCACAATCACTGTCATGAATTTGGGGTCAGTAATTGTACTGTGGATATGACAAAGGGGGATAAACAAAGGCCTCGGCCTCAAACTCATAGAGATCCTCTTGCCTCTGCCTCCCAAGTGCTGGCATTAAAGGCATGTGCCACCACTGCCTGGCTCAACCAGGCAGTTTTAGTTTTGTCTGGACTGAGTTTATGTATGTAATACACATGCTCAAAATACATTGCTTTCTTTTTATAGTTTTGTGTTTTTATATATAGTATTTTCCCATTATGTTACTTTTGTTAATAAGCAAGTGGTTCCTTATTTTTCTCATTGTAATGATTTTCCATTAAATATTAGTGTAAGATTTGTTTATAATTTTATATGTTGTTTCACAACAGATTTAAAGTACTTTCTTAACAAAAATGTGACATTTTATAATTTTTTTTTTTAACTTTTAGATAACCCAGCAGCTTGAGGGAATCTGCTTACAAGTCATTGGGACCGTTTTACAACAGCATGTCTTAGGTATTATACCTGATTTTACCATTTTTATATCATTTAAGATGAATAACCATTTCTTGACAACTTGATATTCTCTTCTAGAATTCTATGAGGAGATCTTCTCTTTGGCACATAGTCTGACATGTCAACAAGTGTCTCCACAGATGTGGCAGTTACTGCCCCTTGTATTTGAGGTATTTCAGCAAGATGGCTTTGATTACTTTACAGGTAAAGTCAAATCAGCATGAAAATATGTATTGTTACTTAACCCCCATTGTGATTACCACATAGCTTATAATTGAACACTCTACATTTTCCTGCTTTAACTGCTATATTGTTTAATCAGTAACAATGCCCAAGGATGACATATAGGTATTAATGTCTGTTGTATCATTATTGTTAATGTTTACTTTTAAAAACACACATGCACACACATGCATAATAATATTCTATATAAATAAGTATATGTGCATGTATTTTTTAATACAAAGGAATTCTTTTTAAAGTGATTGATAGGGACAGAATAGTGCTAGATTTGCCTTTTGGTGAGAAAACTTTTTTTTCAGAAATAAATGAAGTATTTTTATTATAAATATGAGTAACCTCATTGTGGTGGTACCTACCTGTACCAGCACTCAGAGGCAGGTAGGTAGGGGTTCAAAGTCATCCTTTGCTACCTACCTAGTTTGAGGTTAGCCTGAGCTATAGGAGACTCTGCCTTTTAAATCATTGTATATAGCCTTTACCAGTTTTATGTGTTCTTTGCATCATCTTATCTTAGCCTTGTGACTACCATCATGCTTTGCTACAGATAATTTCAACCCTGCTTCTTTCTCCACAATCACTGTCATGAATTTGGTGTCAATAATTGTACTGTGGATATGACAGAGGGGGATAAACAAAGGTAAAGGATGTACAAATTGATTTTTTTTTTAATTTTAACTATAGACATGATGCCTCTTCTGCATAACTATGTAACAGTTGATACAGACACGCTTCTATCTGATACCAAGTATCTTGAGATGATATACAGTATGTGTAAAAAGGTAGGCCCCTTTTCTAATAGCAGATATCAGAAGGTTGTTGCAATAAAATGATATAAATAACACATGCCCCTAGATTGTGCTGAACACAGAACAACACATTGATCAGACAATTAAAGATTTTAAAAGTTACAAAATTATTTCTTAGAAGGGCATGATTACTCACAGTTGTGGGTTGAAGCAAGGGGATTGACAGTTCAAAGGTATCATGTGGTACATCGCAAGTCTGAGGCTCTTACCAAAAAATTGGAATGAAATTTTGGGTTTGAGGAAGAATTTTCAGTTAATAGAACACTTGCCTAGCATGTGGAAGATTCTGGATAAATAGACAAAATATTTTAAACTTGGGGATTTTTTTTAAAGATCTGACTTTAGAGATGTTTACAAAAAGGAATGCTTGGAGATTGCAGGTCTTTGGCTGAGTATGGTGGCATACCCCTTTAATTCCAGCACTGTGAGTTAGAGGCTACACTGGCCTATATAGCAACAAAACCAAAAAACTAACCAAAACTGCTCTGCCATTTGGTTTGAGTGTGTGTGTGTGTGTGTGTGTGTGTGTGTGTGTGTGTGTTGGACTAATCTAAAAGCTTTCATCCTCCTGCCTCAGCCTTTCTAGGCCTTTGATTACAGGCATGTGCTACCACACTTGAGGTGGTGGTTTTTGGTTTGTTTGTTGTTTACAGAAGAGGCAGATATCCTTGAAAGATTAGTGTTGTGTTGTTTTGAGACAAGGTTTCATTGTGCAGCTTTGCGCCTTTCCTGGAACTCACTCTGTAGCCCAGGTTGGTCTCGAACTCACAGAGATCCACCTGGCTCTGCCTCCCAAGTGCTGGGATTAAAGGCGTGTGCCACCACTGCCTGCATGTTCTAGTTTTTACTTCGGTGAGAGAACTTAATGTTTGTTAACGTACTAGAGTCCAGAA